AATTTTAACTTGGGGCAGGGTAGGTGTTAGCTAATTTGACCGAGCATCCAAATTGCAAAAGGAGTGTCCGTTCGAGGATCAATCACACCTCTATAGGTCGTACCTAAAAAACCATAATGGTTAAATGTCAGAAGTGAGACAGTCACATCATTCCCCAAAGAGTCAGACAACAAGTGTCACACGACTTGTTCGAAAAAAGGAAAAAATTAAAAGGAAAAAGCCCGCTAAGTCGAATCTCGAAAGCAAATGACTTAGGCAAAAAAACTGGGGCATCCTGCTGGACTTCAAAATCGAAGAAACTCAAAAGATTTAGTCCAGGAAAAAGTTAGGGAACGAAAAAGAAAAATAAAAAGGATTATAACCGAAAATCCTTGAACAAAGTAAGTCGTGTGACTCCAGGTCCCAAAAGACGAAAAGCGAGTAACTGTCACTCCAAAACGGGTGGTTCCCCGAACTATCACTCCAGTCATCTAACCTTTGAAAGGTGAACGCTTAGGTCAAATTAGATGAACTTAGGATCAAAGATCATCACGTAGAAGGGGTGGGTGAAAATCATACGTTGAGCCTTATATCTTTTGTTTCACGAACCATGAACCCGACCACGATACAACCCTTAAAAGACCTAATTGAGGCAGGGTTTATTTTGAAGGCGTATTACGATAAGGTCGAGTAACCTGACTCCTACATGATTTGCTAATCATATCCTTATTGTGTTTTTCACTGATCAAATCAGCATTACATTTGAACTCTGTGGTTCATTCGTCACTCACTATCAAGACACGTAAAGGAGTGACAACATTTTTCAAAATTTGCATGAACATTGCATTAAAATTACCATTCGTAAATGAAAAATTTTAATTGCAGGTCCGTGGTTGACATGAAGGAAATTCCAACAGGGAATGGTCAAACAGGACTGAATTGTTCAGTAGTCTGGATCAGAATGGCATATGCCGTGAAACCCTGTGAATCTGGGGCATTAACTTCCAGTGAGTTCAAAATCAGTCAATCTGAGGACAAACCCTGAAGCATCGATTGATTATGGGACAACTTATTCAAGAAGTAGTTGATCAGAAGTGAATCTTCTCGAGACCCAATCAGGGGCAGCCATCCGGAGTTTCTGTGATTTGAGGGCAGATCCCTCTAGTATTCGGTCAGATTAGGTTAAGTCGCGTCAACGCTCATTCAGGGGCAAGCTACTTCAATAGTATATTGAAACCAACCATGCTGAGGGTTGGTTAATCAAGGATGGATCATGTTTCGTGGTACAGAGACTGGGGCAGGCCAACCAGAAGAGCGCATAAGCTATTTCTCGCCCAAGGGGCATTTGATCCGAAGCATCTCCGAAGTTCAAAGTGTTGGAACAGTTCATATCAGACCATCAGGGTATCAAAATTTCAAATTTCCTGTCAAGGAGTATCCCCACAGAGATCCCACAAGCTGGGGTATATCAGAAGCGAAGGAATTGTTCCTCTCAGTGTAATCAGAGCTCTCCGAAGCTATTCAAGCAGGTTTGATCAACTTTCAAGTTCAAGACGAATGTCGGGGAGTCATGTCACTTATCCCTTGACCCTTCAACCAGAAACCGTGAATTCAGACAGAATGTTTTCCAGCGTCAGTTGTACCTGAACCATCGCAGATAGCCTAAAGTCCAAGTCCTATTGGCAATTATCAGGAAGCATAATCCGTGTTGGCGCATTATTCCAAAATCCAATTGACATTGGTACGTAGGAAGACTCTGTCTGTTTTCCCCAGCAAAAGTCTAAGTTTCATTGACACGTGTAAGCTATTCCCAGGAAAGTCCAATCATACTTGGCATATTTGGTTATTCCCCAGCGAAGTTGGTTTCAGCTTTCCAGCATTTATTTTGTTGGAATAATTCTGTGATACCCGGTTATTCCCAGCGGAGTTGGCTTTGTCTTCAGCATTTATTTTGCTGAAGCGGTTCTGTATCCAGCTTTCTCCAGCGGCCTGAACCTGCATTTGCATCTTGCATATTGTAATACCCAAATTTTTACCCCTAAGATCCCACATTGCATTTTCATTTTTTGCATACACAAACAAGATCATACTTTTCGGTTCTTTCACCCTTGTGTTTCTTATTTACTTTATGTTTGTTTATGTTTACTAATCTCTAACTAAAATACCAAAAATATTTTTCAATTTGTCTGTTTCTTCTTCTCTGTGTGTTTAGGATTTTGCAAAAGGGATTGATGGCAAGGACATTCATTCAAGTTTAAATCAGATGGACGTTTGACCTCATCTTGGCCAAACTATCAAGGGTTTGCTTCAACTATGAATTACCCGTGGTGGTAGGATATTTTCTCAGCAAATGTGTTTGTTCACGGTCAATTTGTTTTGTGTTGAAATTCATTGGTTTATCAAAGCAGTGTTCTATGAGAAGTTTGGTCCAGAAATCCAGAGAATTATGTCAAAGATCAAAATGGAAGGTGCAAGTAATGTCCTGATACATGAGTAGTTGTGTTCATTTTTATCAGAGGTGAAGGTGGAGAATAGGGCGTGGAAAGTTGATGCTGGAAGTAGATCTATTGATTTGGAGCTGACTACATTATCAAGTGCCAATCATATCAAAATGACTCCAGGTGATGCAGGCTTTCAGGACAGATACATCGTTCAAGAAATAATCAAAGAAATGGCCAAGAATAGACCCATTGATACTAAAAGGAAGAAAGGATTTAAAACTCTATAGAGAAGCCCAACATTCTCTCCACAGAACAATGGAGAAATACAGTGCTTATTGCAGATTAATTCTAGGTTGCAACAGTTCTTCAAGAGTAACAGAAGCAATCCGCTCCCGTTGTCTTAATGTACGAATAAATGCACCGAGTGAAGAACAGATTGTTGAAGTCTTACGGTTCACTTGCAAGGAAGAAGGGCTGCAACTTCCTCATAGTTTTGCTGCTCGCATAGCAGAGAAATCTAACCGGAATTTAAGGAGGGCCATATTGTCATTTGAGACTTGTCGTATCCAACAATTGCTGCATGTGAAGCTTCATTTTCTGAACCTAAAAAGTTGGAAACTACCCAGGCTAACATGTCTCCTGGTGCATCACTGCAGGAAGCCAATCTCGAGGATAGTTTTTTGTCGAAGTTTCAGGATGAGAATTCTTCAATTGGGTCTCATGGAGACATGGATGATTTTTCCGTACCAAAAGATTCGTTTAGTCACATTTCAGAGCTAGAAAATACTGATATTGTTGCAGAAACTTCAAATTGCATTGTCTTGTCAAAAGCGGACATGGTTGAACATGTCTTGTTGGATTGGACATTGTGGGTAACGGCCTCAGTTTCAATCCAAATTGCATTACTTGGTTTTCTTGAAAACTTAGTGTCTATGCACTGGTACAGAAATCATAACCTTACAATTTTGCGGCGAATCAACCTTGTTCAACATTTACTAGTTACATTGCAAAGGGGTGATGTTGAAGTTCCTGTCCTTGAAAAATTGGTTGTGTTGCTTGGAGTCATTTTGGAAGATGGGTTTCTATCTTCTGAGCTTGAAAATGTGGTTAGATTTGTGATAATGACATTTGATTCACCAGGGTTGGCTCCACAACGTCCAATTATGAGAGAATCAATGGGAAAACATGTGATTGTTAGAAATATGTTACTAGAGATGCTAATTGATCTACAAGTCACAATTAAATCAGAAGAGTTGCTTGAGCAAGGCTGGAATACTACTATTGATGAGATTGTTAAGTTAGTTGCGAAGCTGAATGAATCAGTTGGGGAAACATCTCATACAATGGTCTCTTATGACACCCATGATGGCTCGCATATCAGTCATTGGTTAGATGCTTCTGTTAGTGCTGCCACTGAAATGATTTTTGGTCTGCAGCAGAAACTTGAAGCTTCTAATGCAGATCATGAAATAATGACTACGAAATGTGATCATCTGCTTGAGAGGAATGAAATGGCTATCAATGTACTACATAAAATATACAGTGACCTGAGGAAACTTATGTTTAGTGGTTGGTCTTTGGATGAAGATACGATAGATGTTCAAAGTGAGGCACTGCCTGATTTACTGAATTATAATAATTATGACACCATCATGAAGCATTTGGGGGATATATTGATTAAAAAGCTGGAATTGGAGTCTGTTACCAATAAGATGAAGTCAGAATTGGTGCACAAGGAAACTAAATATGAAGAATTGAAGATAAAGTGTCTTGGTTTAGATTCTGTTGGAAAGCTAGTTAATGATGTTGCAGGTGCGCTGCATGTGGAAACTCCGAATATTGAAATAAACACATTGCCCCTTTTGCACTTAGATTCATTAGTGTCTAGTCTTGTACAGAAAACCAAAGAGGCTGAAATCCAGAATCATGCCTTCACATTTGCGGTCTATGGAGATGGATGGTAGGATTGAATGGGTAGGAAGAGCACTTGCCGAGGCTAATCATCATGTAGATTCTCTACTGTTAGACCCTTGCCTGCGCTAAAGGAGAATGTCAAGAGAGTCATGTTTTATTGCTGAGATAATTTATTTGAAGTTTGTTGAAGGACTGCTGATAATTGAAGTTTGACGAACGACTGGTGGCCCAGTTTTCCGGTCACCGTAGTGTTCTGAGGACATTCATTTATCGCATCTTATGAGATCAACCTTCAGCTTGAGGACGGTAACTCTGTGTTGATACTGATATTATCTGCAAGATTTACCGTGGAAAGGAATCTCTGTGTATTCAGTTTTGGGACAAGGGAAGTTTTATTAATGGTCCATTTCGGTCTATTCTTTGCAACATAGAGAGTGAGTTCCCATTCAGGACAGTAGAATTTGTAAAACTCCTTTCTTTCCTTTGTGAAGGAACTTGGCCTGCAGAATGTGCGTATACCTATCTAGATAGGTCTGTTGGTATATTTTCTTTGTTCGAAATCAGTAGCGATTTGCTAGCAGATGATGTCTACCATATTCTTCAAATGCAAGCAGCAGTAAAGATCCATCACTTAATGGACTCCAATGTTCTAGTCCATTTTCCTACATGCCTAAAAACTTGCATGGTACTTTTCCATCAAAACAGATATCTCCGGCTCTAGTCCATGCTGTTACACTCAGTGTTGATGTTAGAACTGATCATGTGCAGAAAGTTACCGAGACTCAGGAAATTGATTTGACGACTCCTTGGGCTGCCTCTTCACGCATGGCCAATAGGTGTGTGCTTGATAACAAATCATCTTCGTCCCTTACTTCTGTGGCCACAGATTTAGGATTGGGAACGTTATATACATCAACGCCAAATGCTTGCAAGCCAGATACCACAAGGTTTCAAGATAAAATAAAGCATTTTGAGTGCGTGCCAGATTCTGCTTCAGCTGACTCTGTTGCTATCCAGGGAAATACATCACACCAGATTGCTAGATCTTCCTGCTCTTGTGAGAGAATTGGAACAGTTACATGTTTCAGAAGAGAGACCCGTACCATCGTTTTTCTTATGTCCAATACTTCAGGAAATAATGCATGATCCTCAAATTGCAGCAGATGGATTTACATATGAAGGGAATTGCCCACATCACTGGTGGTGGTTTTACAGATAACATACCTCGAGTTTTTCCTGAAGGCCTCGGCGCTCTTATACATGAAAACTCATGGGATCACCGGCCGTGGCAACACCGTCGTCTAAGATGCATGGGAATCTTGCTGCTACTCCCGGAAGTTCCAAACTTCGGGAGGAGAATAGGAATCTGGCTGCTACTCCAGGCAGTTCCAAAATTCGGGAGGAGAAAATTAGGGTCACTGTTCGGATGAGGCCACTCAACAGGAAAGAACAAGCCATGTATGATCTAGTTGCTTGGGATTGTTTGGATGAGCAAACCATAGTGTTCAAGAATCCAAATCAAGAGAGGCCTGCAATACCTTACACATTCGATAGAGTTTTTGCTCCTGCGTGCTCAACTCAAAAGGTGTATGATGAAGGGGCTAAAGATGTTGCTTTATCAGCACTTTCAGACATCATGCAACCAATTGGAATAGTTCTGAAATCTGCAGGCCGGGAAGAGGTTATATCTGTATTGCAAGTTGTGGTTAAGCTGGCTTTTACATCTGATACCATTGCTGAGAAGATGTTGACCAAGGATGTTTTGAAATCATTGAAAATCTTATGTGCATATAAAGATCCAGAGGTGCAAAGACTAGCTCTGTTAGCTGTTGGGAATTTGGCCTTTTGTCTGGAGAATCGTCGTGTCCTTGTTACCTCTGAAAGTTTGCGAGAACTTCTCTTGCGGATGGCTGTTGCAACTGAACCACGTGTTTATAAAGCTGCAGCTCGTGCTTTGTCAATTCTTGGAGAGAATGAAAACCTGAGGCGTGCAATAAGAGGGAAACAAGTGGCAAAGCAAGGGCTTCACATACTCTCAATGGATGGAGGTGGGATGAAAGGTCTAGCCACCGTGCAAATGTTAAAGGAAATTGAAAATGGAACCGGAAAACGGATACATGAGTTGTTTGATTTAATATGTGGTACATCAACGGGTGGCATGCTAGCTGTTTCCCTTGGGATGAAGTTAATGACTTTAGAAGAATGTGAAGATATATACAAGAATCTTGGGAAACTTGTTTTTGCTGAGCCTGTTCCCAAGGATAACGAAGCTGCAACTTGGAGAGACGAGTTAGATCAGCTTTATAAGAGTTCATCACAAAGTTTTAGAGTTGTTGTTCACGGATCAAAACACAGTGCAGAACAGTTTGAGAGGCTATTGAAGGAGCTATGTGTTGATGAGGATGGGGATTTATTAATAGACTCTGCAGTAAAAAATGTTCCCAAAGTTTTTGTAGTCTCAACATTGGTGAACATGGTCGCCGCACATCCGCATTATAGTTTAGAGCTACAAGCTGTAGCTTACAACTCCATTATGTGGCAAACCATGTCATGCTGGCATCACACAAAACAAATACCAAACTTTTAAATGCGGCGCGTAAGCTTTCGTGCATGAGGAGGTTACCGGTCATATTTTTTCTTACTTGCTGCTGATTGATCCACGCGGGAGAGGACTGCTGATGCAGGTGGTTCTGCTTTAGAACTACTTACAAAGGCATTGTCAAAGAGCTTATACTCAGAAAGATTGCTCCAAGTGAAGGCTCTGCTCAATATTTGGTTTTTTGTTGGTTGGTCATTTGAGACAAGAAAACTTGGTATTAAGTACTGCTATAACAGGCCTTGTTCAATATATGTTGTTAAAGCACCGCACGAGTCAAAAACCAATGAAAATGAGATCCACTCAACTGAAAATGCTCAGGCGTTTAACCTAACTCAAACCATAAGTAGTGCTTTCCTTCCACGGTTCAGCTCAGATGGAAAGTTTCTCGTATTTTTATCTGCAAGAAGTTCAGTTGATTCTGGGGCCCATTTTGCTACAAATTCACTTCATAGAATTGATTGGGCCAAGGATATAAAATTCCATCAATCTGCAAAAGTTCATGATGTTATACCAGTTGTGCTATGTGCTGAGGATGATGGCTTTCCCGGGCTTTACTTTTCAACTATCCTTAGTGATCCATGGCTTTCTGATGGCCATACTTTGGTTATTCCCTCTGTCTGGCACAGCAGTCAAGTTTTACTGTCTGTCAATGTGTTAAGTGGACAAGTAAAGCGAATCACACCCGAGTGCATTTGCTATATATTCCACCACATGGCAAAAGAACTGGATGCTATTTTGGATCATGGAGAAGCTGAAGCTGCAGTCAGCTGCGTAACTGATGACGGTTCTGCGAAGTTTCTTGAGAAAATCATTTATCCTATATATGAAACGCTAGCTGATGAGGCTCATTACAAAAATGGAAAAGCTGCACATTCAGCATGGAGAAATTATGATGACTTCAATGAATACTTTTGGTCACCTGCTTGTTTTGAAATAGGCTGGCCAATGAGGAGTGGTTCACCGTTCTTCCTTAAGCCGAAAAAATCGAAAAGGACTGGTAAAAGTAGTTTTGTTGAGCATAGAACGTTTCTTCAGTTATATCGAAGTTTCCACCGTCTCTGGATCTTTTTGGCATTAATGTTTCAGGCTTTGACAATTATTGCTTTCAATCATGGACATATCAACCTGAATACTTTTAAAACAGTACTTAGCATCGGGCCATCATTTGCAATCATGAATTTCGTTAAGAGTTGCTTGGATGTATTGCTCACATTTGGGTCATACAAAACTGCAAGGGGCATGGCTGTTTCAAGGCTAGTAATAAGGTTTTTTTTGGGGTGGCTTGACTTCTGCGTTTGTGACATATGTTTACCTGAAGGTTTTACAGGAGAGCCATAGTAATAACTCCGACAATTCATTCTATTTCCAGATATACCTGCTTGTATTGGGTGTTTATGCAGCTATACGCCTATTCTTTGCATTGCTGCTCAAAATTCCAGCCTGTCATGCACTTTCTGAGATGTCTGATCAATCATTCTTTCAGTTTTTCAAGTGGATATATCAAGAACGGTACTATGTTGGACGAGGTCTTTATGAGAAAATGAGTGACTACTGCAGGTATGTGGTCTATTGGTTGATCGTACTTGCTTGCAAATTTACTTTTGCATACTTTCTCCAGATAAAACCTCTTGTTAAACCTACCAATATCATTATGGATCTTCCATCTTTGACTTACTCTTGGCATGATTTTATCTCAAAGAATAATAACAATGCCTTGACTATAGTTAGCTTGTGGGCTCCTGTTGTGGCTATTTATCTCATGGATCTTCACATTTGGTACACTGTCATGTCAACAACTTTCTATTCTGAGCTGGTTGGAATTTCAGCGCAGAGCACATTGGAAGGTGAAAAACAAGTGGAATCGGACTCGAATGTGAAACCCGAGCAGATGGAAGAATGCACTACCTATAAAATTTGTTGTTGCAGTTGTTGCGGAGAAAGGGCAGATGGCACAGACTGTTTGGTGTGCGATTCATGTGAGAAGGTGTACCATTTGTCCTGTATTGAGCCTGCAGTGAAAGAAATACCTCACAAAAGCTGGTATTGTGCTAATCGCACCACTAGTAGCTTTGGATCTCCCCATGAGAATTGTGTAGTATGTACGAGGTTGAATCACCGAATGACTCCGAAGAAAATAGCTGGTGATGAAAGCCTCACTATAAATGAGAAAACTCAACCAATCATCCATGCCTTGCAAAACTGTAAGCTCCCTACTTTTACCGATGATTTATCTTGGTTGGCCAGAGGTTCGAAAGTTGGGCAGGAGATCGAGAATCAGAGGACACAGCTTGAGAATTGCTTGATCCAGTACCTGACTCATACTAGTAACATGATGGGAATTTCATTGGCAGCAAAAGAGGCATGTGTCATAACACAAACATGTGCTAAACTTGAGTTGTGTGGTTCAAGTTACCGTGTAGTTCCACATTGGGGTTTGATATTTCGTCGAATTTTTAACTGGCGATTGACAGGTTTATCTAGCAGGGAAATTTTCACGGCCTACATCTTAGAACGACATCATAATGTTGATCTTCAAAATGTGGGCTTTTCAGCATGTTTATCCTTCAAACATCCGATACAATTGCCAAATTTCAGAGCTACCCGTGCCGGCAGAGATTTCCAAAAAGAAATTAAAATAGGAGCAAAATTTTCTGAGGAGTGTTGTATATATGAAGCAGAGCGAAAACAGCTCGAAATTGAGGTTGAGCTGAGAAAACAATTCATCACTTATCCAAGCCATATTGCAAGCCATGTGAATATAATCTCAGTCATGTTACACTCCAAGCTGACCCCACAAGCCTTCCACGTCACTTAAGTGAGCTGAAAGAAGAAAAAGTCCAAAACGACATGAAAAAGTTTCAGTAACAGTTCACGCACAACCCACATCAAATAACCAAAACGCAAAAAAAATCTCACAAATGGAAAATCATTTTCACTCATTCTCATCTATAAATAGAACACCTACCTCACTCTATTCTTCAAGCTTTTCAAGCCAAAAAAACCTCTGTTGATTTTCTTCTTCAAACTCCTCACTACGAAAACTTTTTGCTCACATTTTCTTCTCCCACTTCCTTCCACCAATTTCACTCTAATTGAAACAATTTCAGCCAAATTCAAAGGAAGAAGAAGAAGAAGAAAGAAGAAGAGAGTTTCGATTTCATCATTCACCTGAGTTTGAAGGTAGATTGAGCTTCACCGTCAGTTTCGATCAGTTACTTTTTGTTGTGTTTCTTTGAATTGTTGGTACTGTTGTGAAGAGCTCTTGATTTCGATTGCAACCGCGTATTTTTTGTGTCCCGCCGCTCCGATTTGAGAGAGCTTTGAAATGACATCCATGGCCGTGAACAGAGTCTCGCGTGAGAAGAAGATGATTCTGTTTTGTTTTCTCTTTCTTCTTTTCAATTGTCTTTTTTATTTTATTTTATTTTATTTTATTTTATTTTTATTTCTCTTCAGAATTTAACCGTGTGGACTTTTCCACATTTCTTTTTATTATTAAATTTGTATTTTAATTTCATTTTTGAAAAAAGCTCTTAAAAAAATTATT